AGAGTAAAAGACACTAAAAGAAACAATGAAAGCTCAACAGTGCAAAGAGTACAAAGTTAATCAATCAACATAGCACTTCAAACCCCCAACAAAAATGGTTCAGAAATTGAGAAAATTAACAACTACCCATATTAAAAAAACCATGAAACCATGAAGATCTAGAGAAGATTGTGCCCATTAAAAGAGATAAAAGAAAGATCTAAACAGGGGTATACTGCCATGGTGGAGAGAAGAGTTCGAAGGAACCCAAGCTGTTAGGTTCCTAAATCATTATCTTCAACCTCTAAATCCTTTCATTTTCTCTCCCTTTCCCCAACACCAGATCTGGGTTCCTTTGTAAGTTCCCATTTACTCAACTTCATGCTCAGTGCTGATGAAATTGATGATGATGATGAAGAGGAAGATGAGGTTGCAAATGATTAAAATGAGGATGGAGGTGAGGGGGACAATGGATCTGGTGAGGACGGTGAACAGTAAGAAGGAGAAAGGAAATGAGAGAAAGAAAGAAAGGGCTGGGCTGGGCTGGGTACATTTGCAGTTAACAGAATGTAACAAAGAATGAGTGTGCAAAACGAAGTGTATAATGAAATAGGGTGTTTGTAGCATTATCCATTTAAAATTAATTTTTTTCATACAATTCTAAGAGTGCATTCTTATATTGACTTGAGGTTTTTAAAGAAATTAAATTCTCATTGGATGTTAGTATCAAAATTTAAACTATAAATATATTTTAAAAAATTACACTTATTTATCTTTGAAAATAATATTTACAGTTAGATGTTTGTTATGATTGTTTCTCATATAGTTGAAAAGGAAAAGAAGTGAGAAACCGTATATGTGACCCTATGGCCCATAACTTGTAAGCATTTTAGATTAACAGTCATGGGAGCGTATATGGGGTTAATTTTTGGCCCACAATAGAAATAAATGGGTTATCTATTTATTGATTGGCAATGGGTTACCTATTAACAGGACCATGTTTTGGACTTTAGTTTTTCGAAGCCCCGCATGACCAGCCCAGACTCTGGGCTGTACGAGACGAGGAAAGAAGAGAAGATCAATTGATGAAGATGACCTAATTAACTGGGCTTTGACTCTAATTCTAAGCCCCTGGGTTTGCTTTGACATGGTCAATGCTAGATTTTATTTTCTTTTTCTTTTTCTTTTTTAAAGGGTTCATTGTTTTGTTTGGATTGCAAAACAGAAACGGTTGAATAGGGGATAATCTTACCATCAACTATAATACATATCGATTCCAAGAAATAAGATGTAAACTATGAAATTACATATTTCCTACATAAGACAAAAAGAAGCATATTCCCAATATAGTCATAATGTATACGGTATAATGTATATTTTTTCAGTAAAATTGGTCTCTAATCAAACATAATTTTAAAACAAGAAGTTGCATTACATTTTCTTTTTTGGTGTATCATATGATGGGTCAACGAAAGAGAGCCTCCCCTTCCCAAAGTTTTTTTTCATCTATTTTAAAATTCAAACTTAAAATCTCTATTACGAAAGCTTAAATTCCTAACCATTGAGACGTTCCCCTTATACACAGAAGTTGCACTATATATCCTAAGAAAGGCTCAAAGTTGGAGATAATAGTACTAAGGGATTGAAGAAAATCAAGATGTTTTGATAATAAAAATGTCAAAAATAATAATAATAATAAAATTTAAATACTTTTAATAAATTAATTTGTAAAGAAATTTATTAAAAATATTTAAATAAGTTTTACACATTTTAAATATCAATAGGACCTAACTTTATTTTCACTTTTCTTTGCCACCAAACCCCATACAAAAAGTCAAATTCTTGTATTGTAACACACAAAAAAGGTTGGCCAAAAAAGAGATATGAAGGCTACAGAAATGGCCGCAATTAATTTTGTTCTGGCTATTAAAATTGTAAAAATTTTATTTTAATTTGACTGTTAAAAATAAATAATAATTAGTAAAATAGTTAATATTTATTGTTTGATATATTAAAATTAATTTATAAACAAATATTATATTTCCTTTGTTTCAAAACAATTATCATTTTTTCACTTTGAATTTATCTCAAATTAATTGTCATTTTCTTAATTTTTAGGGTAGATAAATATTTTTTTCTTATTTTAACCATATTATTATCTATTTGCTTTGATTAATTATCCTATCACAAAAAGTTTCATTTTAATTATCTTTTAGCTTTTTTCTTAAAATAATATAAATATATATATATATATATATATTGTCCTCAAATCTTTAATTTGAAGAAAAAATAAAAAAAAAAATGACAATTATTTTTAGATAAAGGTAGTAACTAACTATTTAAAAAAATAAAAAAATTAGTAACCTTAACAAAATTATTAATGGCTATAACCTTAGTTAGATCTGAAGTTCGAAATAATTATACTAAATATCATATACAGAAGCCGTGTGATGAAAGATAAAAGAGACAGCCAAAAAGGGGCTGGAAAGATGTTAACAATTTAACATTCTTTATACTACCAACGAGAGGACATGTAGTGTTCTTTAGTAGTTAGCATAATGAGGGGATTGGGAGTATAAAATACGAGCATGTTGAGGATTGGAATTACATGGCTTATTCTTTAATTGTTTTGAGATTTTTTAACTTTATTCTGGATAAGACTTCGAGTTGGGCTACGGTAGGATGTAATTTTAAAGTATCGTTAATGACTCTTATGTAAATATACAAACACATTATTAAATCAGATGTATGGTATAAATGAAACAGAAATGTAAAAAAAAAATAAGAAAAGAAAAAGAAAGAAACATTCATAAAATACTACCAACCAGAGGGCATCTGGTATTCTTTAGTATGTAGTTATTTGGCTCATTCTTTTATTGTTTCGTGATTTTTTCACCTTCTTATAATAGAACTTCGAGTTGGGCTGCATGATTTTAGAGTATCGTTAACGACTCTTGTGTTGTAAGGATAGGTCTGGGATCCTTAATTTCGGATGTACAGTAACAATTCCTTAATAGCCGAA